CACCATGGTGGGGTCTGAATCCCACCTCTGGGTTTCAGCCGCCCGGCTGCTCCTCGGCGGGTTTGCTGATCAAGCCCATTCCACTCGCAGGGTGAGGTGGGATCTAAAAATAGATGTGCAGATCTACTCTTGGAGGCTGCCAGCGGCGCAGAGGCAGCTCCTTCCCTCGGTGAAAACCAAGCTGTGCTATTAATGCTCCGTGCACCTCCCGTGCCAGCAGCGAGGGCAGCGCCTGGCCCTGAGACCCCCTGCGACCAGGCAGGACAGGGCAGCACAGGACAGCACAGTCCTCCTGCAACCCTCCTGCCTCCGGGACACGGATACACTAGAGAAAAGCAGTGGTTGAAGCACGTTATCAGGGCCCATGAGATGCTCCATATGCTGTAAGCAGGAGACAGGCCAGCGGCATGGGCTGACCATCCTGCAGAGCCCCAGCAAGGGGGACTTGCTCCTCTCCACCTGCAGCCCCACGCGGTGGCATCCCCTTTGTCTGCACGGCCTCTTGCTCTGACAGAGCTGCTTCTTCTCTGCAAAGCTTGGGAAGGCAATCATAGAATCATGGAATGGTTTGGGTTGGAAGGGACCTCAAAGATCATCCAGTTCCACCCCCCCTGCCATGGGCAGGGACACCCCCCGCTACACCAGGTTGCTCAAATATCCTCCAGCTCCTTTTTGAGGGAAGGCCAGGCTTGTGCGTGCAGCAGATAACATAATGCCTCACCACCCTCACAGCGAAAAATTTGTTCCTTAGATCTAAGGATGATAACACAGGGTTGCCCCCTGGCTCTCCTGACCCAGGGTAGCTCTTTACAGACCAAAACATCCTTTTCTGCAGAAGAAAACATCCCGCTGCAGCCAGGCAATGCAAGGGCAGGTGTCACAGAGTCCCCACCCCTGCAAGCCCCTCTGCAAAGTGGCCAGTGGCCCAGGACACCCCTCCCTATGCCCGGTGACACATCATCCCGAAGGTTACCACCCTCCCCGGCCCCCCGAGCCCCGGGACGCCCAGTGAGCCAATGCAACGCGCTGTGCGTGTGGCCCATTTGCATCGAAGGGATAAGGGGAAACCCCAGGAAACGCATGGCCCAGGCATTAATCAAATCTATCTCTAATAATAAACCTGCCGAGCGCCGTGCGGGCTCGGGGCTGGAGCTCGCAGT